CTTTTTATTACGCGTACGAATTATTCAACGGGAGAGAAATGTAACGTGCGCCCTATTTACATATTGCGACATGTGGGGCAGAGTAGATTTGAGCAGAGAAAACTTTGTTCGTAAAAAAATACAAATGATTGTAATGTTGCGCCATATGGGCGTTGTACTTCATTTTATTCTTTCTTTATCTATCTTTCAAGACAAACAGACTAGCTTTGCTTGGGCAAGTCAAGCTGTATCCATGGACATTAGACACAGATATTAAGAAATGATTCAAGTTATTCAATGAAAAAATACTCACTCTCAACTTAAAAATGTCAGTCCTGTAAATATACAGTTACATATAAGGTAACAAACATACCAAAAACAAAAAACCGAAATGAAAACATCATTTTTTAAAGTCGGTTAAAAGTTAACTCGAAAGTTCTTGACGTATTTATTTTCTAAAAACTATATTGATATTTATTGAGTTGTCTTCCCTTCGCTTCGGAAAGTCTCATATTATAGGTACGTAATGTAAATTATTTTTGCTTCTTTTTTATTTTTAAAAAACTGTAAACTCATTACTCCTTTTTACGTCGCAGTCGGTTAACGTTTTCTCTGCGTGCCACACTACCCTGTTCCCCCGGGACTATCGCGACATGTGCTGTGCGCGGCCGAGTGTTCCGTACGTCATACATGTTTTATATTACAACTGATACATTTGCAATTCTACAGCCGTGGTTCGATGGACTTAGCCACAGATCGTGGGTTCGAGTTCCGCACGATACATTTTTGATGTGCATGAGGAATTGGGGAATAAATAACTTTTTTGTTTAATAATAACAGCTGATCTCTTGTTAGTTGTGAGTGTTATTAATTTAAATATGATTTATACAGAAAGCTTTAGGCAGTTAGGTACTTCTTCTTCTTTTCGTGTCGACAACAAACCTACACAGTGTCAGCCCAAAACTCCTTCACAAGAGTGGCGTTGTCAGTAGCACTCATCAAATCCTCCTGATTGAGTAAATTGAGTAGTTAGGTACTTACAAACAAGCTTTAATCAGTAATGCATAATGCGCTTTCATGAATCGACCTTGGATATTACGGCGACTAATATAGACATAAGATGATATGATATAGGTTTTAAAGTAGTCTTTGCTATACTGCGCATTACACAATTTACACAGATAAACAATTATGTCCTTTTGCAAGATTTAGTACTTCAGCAGCAGCTTTTGTAGGTAGTCTGGAAGATATACAAACTACATTCGGGATATCCCATAAATCGTTTCCCTCACATTCCCACGGGACTCCGAAGGTAAAAAGAAATGCCTTATTTGTTCCTCGGAGCGTGCCAGGAATGAGAGGTGGAAATATTGTCGCCTTTCACTGGAGTAATGTAATTGCAACTCCGCACTATGCGCCTCGGAGGCGAGATACAGGGCCGGACTTACTGGGCTGGGGCCCATACGGTATGCAATCGTAGGGGCCAATTTTCGCCCGTTTAAAAAAAAACTAAAAAGGTCATTAGCGCTTTTCAACTGTTATGTGAATGTCGGTTGCAGATCGAGAGCTAAGCTAGCGCCTGTATTCACAAACATCACTATGAAGTCTCACAGTGCGCGTAGACGCACAGGGTGACATATGAACCAATCAGAGAGCTCTATTCAATGCTGTGCTTTCGATTTTCTGCGTCACTTAAGCAAGCATCGTTTGTGAATACGGGTGTAAGTTAGTTTGGCTTAGCACGCATAGCTGACGCTGTTTCCCTTAATCATGTGTAAACTGCAAACTATGCGAATACTGAGAGAAGCTGTGATCTGCAACCAGAATAAAACGGTCCAGAAACTACAATGACTAGACCGGTGTGGCTAAAATCATGGCTATAGTGTGATTACTTGGCTATTTTGTTTGTAGAAAGAGAGAATGCCATTTTACCGAAAGAAGAGATGACAGTCATATTGATGTGATTATTATTGATAGGGTCTGGTCCGCTATTGTATTTTTATTTGGAGCAGATGAACCAAGAGCTGTGGGGCTCCTAGGCAGTTTGCCTAAGGCTAATCCGACCCTGGCGAGAAATGTATTACAGTAGCATTCAAAGCGTTTGCAATTTGCATCAAGGGAAGGCGTACTTTTATTGCGCCTTATATGATCGAGGGAAATCACATTCAGGCTGGAAAATTGGAAGAAACATGTTTGGATGAAGAGGAAATAGGATTTTGATTTTGCTCTAAAGATTATTCAGCAAAAGAGTTTGTATAACTCTACTGATTTTCAGATACCTATACCGTTGCTCAGACAGCACCGGCTAAAGTTAAAAAAAAACACATTTTACACAGCGTCAGTTAGTCTCAAACTTACCAAAGCTTGTGAAAAACGGACAAGGGTTTGAATTAAAAAATAATACTTTTTCAAACAAGGTAGACCGACAACCTCAAAGGTAGCAGGAAGGCGCTGGATGCACCGCTACCAATCGGACGATGTGAAAATCATTGAGGGAGGCCTATGTTCAGCAGTGCACGTCCTGTGGCTGAAATGATGATGATGATGAATACTTTTCACAAAATCTTCCTAAGATATGTACACAAAATGTTCAGCAAAAATGTTTTTATTGTGCGGGAATCAAATCCGCGACCTCCAACGTAGTACCTAGTTGGCATTTACCGCACGCGCTTGCTTGTCACAGTACTAACTCTACCAATTTAAAGGGCTTTAGATGCGTAATACTAAAATTCTTTCTTACAAATCCAAAGTCCCAATACAAACATTAATCAAACTTGCAAAACATTATGAATAATGCATATTATGGATCCGCACGATCTGGCAAATGACCTAATTTTAGAACAAAGAAACTCAAAACGAGATGGAAAGAACCAGTTTGCGGGTCTGGCAATAGGGTTGCCACCCGTGCTGTATTATACAGGGTGTCCCAAAAACAATGGATAACCCTGCAACATTCGATAGGCCTCCTCATGATCTCTAATATCAAATTTTGACCTTAGTAAATATCATTGTTTATTTATTTTAATATGGATCTAAATTGCTCAAATTCCTTTAATTATTTTAAAAATCATAAGCCTTTCTTAACCAAAGTTAAGACACATGTAAAATAAGATGTGTCCTTTTTTTCTTTAACTTCCCATTAGTACTTATAGCAATGTTTTGGAAGGAATACTATATTACCTTCAAAAAAAGGTGACAACCATATCTCGCACCCTGACTAACATTTGACGGAGGGTGGGGCCCTTTAATACAGCCCTTAAAATTACCATTTTAAATCGGGGGCTACTCGGGATTATGAGGTATTTATGCAAAAACTCAATGCTGCTTCTACCTTTGATGATCGGCGTAAGGTTCAGTTTTGTTTGATTATTAGGGTACCTCAATGGGAGTTGCAAAACCCTTATGCGATTATGACATTGAAGACATGAAGTGTGTAGCACAATTAGGCGGCCTTATCGCTAAGAAGCGATGTAGTCACACCCATTAGACAGGCTCTTTTTCGTGAATTTCTGTCTGCTACAGAATGTCATTATCGCGCGAATATCCCAAAAACTGGAATGAAAACTGCTACCAAAGGATTAGTGAAACGTTTCCGATTATGATATCGAAATACCTGAAATTATAGTACCAATAACTGGAATAACTGACAAAAGTTATCGTTGTATTATTATATTACAGCATAAATTCACTCACAAACTACCTACACGTTTGTTGTAGACGGAACCCCCACAGTGACTTTGCGTCGCCCTTGCCCTTTACAGGGGTGTAACTCGATGCGGTTTTTTACCCCTTTTTTAAGGACTCGACTGACCATACCCCCGCAAAAGATTTATGTAGGTCACGCGAGATGGTTGTGACACACCGATCGTGTTCGGGATAATGACAGAGTGTATTGTCAAAAATGTTTTGTTCCGAAGTTAAGTGACAATTTTGACATGGAAATTGTATGGGTAGGATCTGATTGCTATGGGAATAAGCTCGTATAAGCTGTTGTATTTGGATTGTAAACTGAGTTTAAAAATATCATTTTGATGTTGAATATGCTGTGATAGACAATTTTTTGCTTTAAAACTCAAATCTGAATGGCTTCCGTATTTTATGACTAACTCGTTAATTTAGTGCGCTATTCAGAGTTTATTCATTCTAATTTTTGAAAAGTTTTACAGTTAAAAAGAGTTATTCAAAATCGCTACAACATTTAAAACTTTGTTGGCGATCCACTGTCGCCAGCTAAACAATTATTATATCACTAGCTTTCCGCCCGCGGCTTCGCCCGCGTGGAATTTTGTCTGTCACAGAAAAACTTTATCGCGCGCGTCCCTGTTTCAAAAACCGGGATAAAAACTATCCTATGTTCTTTCCCGGGACTCAAACTATCTCTATGCCAAATTTCATCAAAATCGGTTGCGAGGTTTAAGCGGGAAAGCGTAACAGACAGACAGACAGACAGACAGACAGACAGACTTACTTTCGCATTTATAATATTAGTTGGGATGGTTGTTAGTTTGTATGTTTATGAATGTCTAGTTTTTTGACCAGAGTAATGTCAGTTTACCAATAGAAAGTTACTTTGTTGCTAAATGCCACAGGTTACTTTTGTACTAACACACGTGGTAGGTATTTATTTATTGTATCGTACTGAAATATACGCGTGAGAGAGAAACCACTTAAGTTGCTAATATTTTATAGTAATTTGTCAGGGAAAATACCCATATCTAACGATTAAGATAAATCAAGTGTCATTTGTTCATTTGCAATTAATATCCGATGTAACAGCGACAACAATCAATCGGTATTGTCTTGCGAGTTGCTCTATATTTAGCACGTTCCCAAGCCGGCGCGAGCGCAGCAATGCACTTTTGGCAGCGGTTTACTTCCTCATATCCAGGTGCATACAGAAAACGACTACCACACTAATGTATTCCACTTAAAAATACACCTTACTGCTTGAGGAATAAAGTAGGATTTTATTTAATGGGTGCAGATTGACATTTCAAATATTACACGTCCAAGACAAGAATAAAATGGCACATACAAAACGGTCAGATGAACACTGAAATTAGATTTGGCCAGACGTACCTTGGAGTTTTAGTGAAAGTGACGAAACCCTTTAGAAATGAATAGTAAAAAGAATAAGAACAAATCGAAACCAAATAAACCCCAAACTCCGAACCCACCCCAAAAAGTAGAAGAACCAAGTAAAGATGTTGAAGCTGCTGAAATCGTAAGTGCAGGTGAAGTCGCAAGTGCGCAAAAAATTGACTTACGTGTCCCTGAAATAATAAGTGAGGTGATTCCTGTAGTGGAAGTGAAGGAAACCGAAGATGATTCTCCGAATAAACCAAAAAGAAATCGAGGTAAGAAGAAAAAACACGATAAAGACGACGATGAAAATCAAGAGGAAAAGCCGAGTGAGGCAGTGGAAATAATTGAAATCGTTGAAGTCGAAACGCAAGAAATTGTGATTGAAGAAAACGTAGCACCGAATTCACGAAAGAAAAAAAATAAAAACAAGAAAGTTGTAGATCCCGACACTAAAACTACAGAAAAGGCTGAAGAAGAAGTTTCTTTGATCGATGAAAAGAAGATTCAAGAATCTGAGTTGTGTGTGAAAGAAGAATCAAAACCTAAAGATGCGGGTGACCAAGAAGCTAAGTCGTCGAAAAAGAAGAACAAGAAAAAGAAACGAAACGATTCAGAGCGATCTGAAAAAGCTGAGGAACTTAGTTGCACAAGTGCTTTTCAAAAATTGTTAATAGATGATAAGACTGATGTTAAGACTGTAGAAAATCCACCAATTGAAGAAATAAAAATACAACCAGAAATTGTTCAAGTTGCTTCAAAGGAGGATAAAAATAAGAATGTAAGCCATAAAACTGCTTCAACCAAACCTGAAGTGGAAAATGTAGAAAAAAGTACTGATAATCCAGAAAGTGCACCTGCAATCCCACTTCATGAGCCTCCTGGTAAAAATAAAAAGAAAAATAAGAAAGACAAAAAAGAACCCCCAAAAGAAAAAGAAATTAAAGACGATTCTGATATCGAAATGCCTGAAATTATACCAATAACTGAAACTGCTGACGAACTTAAAAAAACTATTGTTCAAGAATCCCCGAAAGAAAATGTCCCAGCAGAAGATTCGTCTGTAAAAAGCAAAGAGGCAGATGAAAATGTGACACCAAAAGCCAAAATCGCGAAGCCTGTTGAAAGGAAACGTAAAGGGAAAGGTGATCACCACTCTCAAGAACTATCTGAAGCACAAGAAAAAGAGTCTATGGGATCTGAAATAATGAAAGAAGAAGAAAAACCTGTAGGTACTCCAATAAAAGAAGATGTCAAAACAAACATTGCAGAACTTAAGTCAGTTTTACAAGAAACTAAAGAAGAAATAAGCGACGTGGAACCTAAACCTAGTAGTCCTGATATAAAATCACTAGATTTGCCTGAAAAAGATAAAAACAAAAAACGAAAAAAGTCGCCCAAACCTGGGAAACAAGAGCAAAAACCAGCAACTCCAATTGAAGTTGAAACGAAACCTGAAGTTGAAATTAATCCTGAAATTTTGAAAGAAGAGCCACAAACTCTAATAAAACCAACTGTAGTTACTGAAAAACAGCCAGTGGCTGAAATAAAATCTCAAGATGCTATTATTACTGAAGCGTTTGAAGAGTTGATCAAAATACCTGAAAGTGACAAAAGTAAAAAGAGAAAGAAATCTCCAAAGCCTAATAAACAAGAACAGCCAGCTAAAAGTATAACTAAAACAACAGCTGAATCAGACAATGAACCTAAAAATATTAGCCCGGATGAACCACCAATTGCTCAAATGGAAACAAAGTTTGAATCAATGACACCTCTTTTCTCAACAGAAGTCGTTGAACCTCAAAAAGAAAGTACTATTTCTCCTGGACAGATTGAAATACCTACACCTATAGGAACAACAAAAGAGCTTATGCCAGAAGCGAAAGATATTAAACCAGATGACACCAACATTCCTGATACTAAATCAAAGAAAAAACGAAAGAAGTCGCCGAAATTACCTCTTGGTACTGACGCTGCACATGAAATAAAAGAAACTGCTGCGTCTGTAACAGAAATGCCACAAAAACAAGAAGCTAAGCCCGGAAGTAGTACAGATAATAAGAAAAATAAGGCAAAAAGCCACGAAAAGTCTGACATCTTCCATGACATACCTACAGCTGAAGACATAGAAATACGAAGCCTCAAAACTGACGAATCCGATAGTTCTATTTGTGACTTTATTCCTGACATCATCCAGCATCCTAGAGCTACAAGCCAAGACCTTATCGATGATAATAATAATACATTGATCCAAGAGATAACAATAGAAGAAATGAAATTACAAATACCTACTGATATTCCCGATACACCCTTCATTCAAGGATCTGGAGAAACTCCACAAGTTACCCCCGAATGTGTGTTTGTTGGTGTCCAAATTTCTGAAGTAACTGCCGTTCCCGTGCCCGGCAAAGGTGAACAAGAAAAGACGGATATTAAATCTAAAATGATGGAAGTAAACCAAGACATGGAAGAATTAAGACTTTCTATAGAAAGATCTTTGGCTGAGTTCTCAGCCATGGAAAAGAGTGAAGGAGAAATAGAACGAAAATTTCAAGAAAAGACCGCTCATACTCGTGTAGAGCCCAAATCGCCTGACGTCAAAATGCCTAGTGAACTTATGTTTAAACAACCAGAAAAAATCGAAACTCCTAAACCTCAAGAGAAGAAAATTGAAGAAACTATTGCAACTCCTTCAGTCGACACTAAACCTGCTGAAATAACTACTTCGGCTACACAAACATCGCAAAAAGACTCTCATAAAAAGGAAACAAAACCCAAACCATCTGAGAAAATGTTAACAGCTACTAATTTACCTCAACCACTAGAAAAACATACTGAAACAATATCTCCACCAATTGTCCCTGCTAGAAAAGATAAAAGTGTGAGCAAAGAACGCGATGTCAAAAATATTCCGATAAAAGTAGCCGAAGATATCGTGAAACCAACTGCAACCGCTACTGAAGTTCCACAACAGCAAGAAACTTTACCTGACACATCTGTTCCGCCCGCTATTCCAGCAAGAAAAGACAATAAAAATAAGGGGAAAAATAAGAAAAAAGGCAAACAAGAAACCGCTCAAGCAGTCACTCAAACTGAAAGTACAACTGCTAGTTCTGAATCAAAAGAACCAGCTCAAGAATCAGCCAAAAAAGAGGGAAAATCTGAACAAAAGTCTGAAACAAAACAAGATAAAGAGAAACAACATGCAGTATTGCCAACAGATGACGTGAAAAATCCCTCTGATCTGGATGGTGATCAAAATAATAAACCAGATTTCGAGCCAATTGAAAATTTTGAAGATGCCATGACTTCAAGCGCAGATGACATTAACAAGACATTTGAAATGATCGTAAACGAAGGCAATCAAACTCAAATCATTGAGGCTTCGCATGTAAATCCCGAGATTAAAATAGTAGCTCCGGTAGAAGATACAAAACCAGATAAAAGAGATGAAAAAATTAACCCTGTTTCGCCGCCAAAAAACTTGCTAGGTCACCCCAATATTCCTGTACAATCGAATAGAACCGATTACAAAAAAGAAAAGAATAAAGCACCGAATACAATCCTGGCTAAGGTTAAAATAAAAGATGCCGTTCAAATTGAAGATAACAAACAATCGAAGGATACTCAGACTGATAATATTCGAAAGTTTTTGAAGACGAAATCGATTGACGAGTCGTTTTCGTCAGTGACCAATGAGAATGACGAGTTTGTCTACAAATACAGTTTTAGGAAAGTTTTCTTGCAAAGCGCCTGCCATGTTTGTAAGAAAGAACTGAAGCAAACTCGAGTGCCCTGTAACTTTTGTAATTTGATGTTTTACTGCAGCGCCAAACACAAGGATGAGGATTGGGCGAAACATCAAGGATTCTGTTTTGCTGTGTCAACCATCGTGCACTTAAAGGGTAAATATTGTGAATCAACCTACATTCCAAATTAATGTACAAGTAAGATTTTTGTTTTACAAATCTTCTATTATTTCAAATAAGTATGTAATCATAATAGTAAATGATAAGTCGGTGATTTTAGATGGTTTTCACAGTTCATCACATTTTATTTTGGAAAGTTGACCTTGTTCATTGAAGTCCAAAAAAAACTTTACCGTCTCCTATGCCACGTAGCGTAGTTAACGCTTAGACAGATAAACCAGGACTCGCTATAGTATTCCCACAAGGCGATACACATCCGATATATTTTCATTTATAACTTTACAACCTTGGTTTCACAACACTGAAAATTCAACAGATCAAAAGCACATCTACGCGGACTCAAAGAACATCACGGGCCAGGACTACCGGCTGCTCCGCATGCAGACTATAGTCTCTTGCGAGAAGGTGCTCAAGCGAAGACTGGCGCCGTTCGAGCAGGAAGCCCTGCTGTATCCTCGAGTATGCGCCGCCCCTGCCTGCCGCGAGTGGCGCCAGAATAAGCTGGTGGACTGCGAGGGTTGCGGGCAGGTAAGGAGAACGATGAATGTAATTTAAAAAATTGGGTACTTTAATTGCACACTTACCTACGACAACGCTAGGAAACACAGATTAATCATTGTAATCAATCACAGGGTAATTCAACCCGCGTCCTTGCCTTGCCCCGTGAATACTGCGATAGTTGCTGGCAGGTAAGAAATATGGTGAAAACTAAAAAATGAAAATGAAAAATTAAAAATGAAAATACTTTTATTAAATAAACACTTTACAATTACAAGATATGTGCCGCTCTCGTATAAGGTTAACCTGTGTAACGAGAGTTAGGCTCCTCCTCAAAAAAACATAAGACTAAAATTTAGTGTTTAGATTAAATTTTATCTTTTATTTAATTTAAAAAACAATTTAAATAGAAAAACAAAACAAAAATGTGTGTGTGATAGACTAAAGATAGATACTTTAAACATAGTATCTTGCAAGAAGGTCTAGGCTCTAGCGCCACCTGGCGCCGTCATACTATTCGTCATCAGGCCATTTAGTCCACTCTGCAGGACAGTGGTTCTTAACTGGTGGTCCGCATTCCAAGTGGTCAACGAAGACATCATAATAAACAAGTGACGTGACGTGATGAGTCGAGTCAACACAACGCAAACGGCGCACAGTGGGCGAGAAATTGACCTCCCCTTTCATAGGATTTTGAAAAAATATAAGTGGTCCCTGACAAGACAGAAATTTGGTAAAATGGTCCCCCGTGACTGAAAGGTTAAGAACCACTGCTGTAGGAGCACGACTATAAGACTGACTCAGACTTAACCTCTGGTTGCTTGGCCGCATATTTCCGGTAGATCAAAAAAAACATTTTGCTAAATGACTGATGGTGTAAGCTTGGTCTAAAGAGTCTTCGAAACATACGATATTAACATACTTTGTACTATTACAGCAACACAAGCATCTTTTCATCCTCAGATATCCTTCTGCTCGGAGCATCCCTCACACTTCCCCAAGGCCCACCAGCGCTGGTGCAAGTCATACTCTCTCTACCAGAAGTTAGTGTGCTACCAGCAGACGCGAGGGCGGTTGGAGCCGCCCCTGCCTGGACGGATCATGGTGGAGCCGCAGACTTCGGAGAAGATGAACGAGGTGCTGGCCAGCATGTATGAGGAGAAGATTGGTGAGTAGATGGGACTTTAGATTGTAGTAGATTGAGGAAACTAAATGTAACATTTAGGTAAAGGTACAGCGTTGTTCTGTTACCTTTTCAATCGCGTGAAAGTTTATACATATTATGTAGAAAAATAGAGTATAGTAGTAAGGTTAGTAGTAAAATCTACTTATAATATACCTTAAATATAGTAAGATTTTATTTTATTACAATTTGTAGTCCAAAATAAAATTAAAAGATTTTCTCCGAATGTGTTTCTGTGAATTTGAAAACGAATATTGCTGTGATTTAATTCAAATTCATAGTTTATGGTTAGATGTTAAAATATCTCTCTTCAAGCAAATGTTATCATAACGACTACATTAAACTCAATTTAGCTTTGTCCTAGTTGGGCACTCGCAAATCCAGGAATAGCTTAGGCTGGCTACACTATGACTATTTTAATTATTTTAAGCGCGACAACTTTCAGTACAATAGCAATAGCAAGTAAAATTCTGCCTTTGTAGGTGCCGCTTGTGTGGCCTGCGTTTGCGATTTATGTTCTTCTAAATATAAAAACTCAAAGGTGACCGACATAGTGATCTATCAAAGCACAGCCCAAACCACTGGACGGATCGGGCTGAAATTTGGCATGCAGGTAGATGTTATGACGTAGGCATCCGCTAAGAAAGGATTTTACGAAACTCCACCCCTAAGGGGGTAAAACGGGATCCACCCACGCCTACGAAGTCGCGGGCTGCCGCTTATTGCGGTAATAAAACTTATTAAAACTGCTATAATCGAACTCATAGTTGTCGAATTCCGAATGCCTGATAGTAGTAGTGTAGATATTGTCTACCTTTACCCACTCGCACTACTTTATGCTGATGATGCTAAGAAGGTAGGTAACCCGAAAATTGACGAAGGCAGTACTGGCACTCCATCGCGACTGAATGTAACAGATGCAATAAGTCTTAGTGTATCATCATCATCATCATCTCAGCCATAGGACGTCCACTGCTGAATATAGGCCTCCCCCAATGCCTTCCATGCTGCCCGGTTGGTAGTCTTAGCGTGTAAATGGCTTAAATCTAATTTTAGTCGCGATATTAATCTGATGCGGTTGGATGTTGGAGGATAATATTAGAATGCGCGAAAATAGAACTGATTCAGGCATAATCGTAATAAAATGTTCATGTGTCTCTAGATTTGCATAGGAGATCCTTTGTCATCTTGGAATTATTGCTATTAAAATTGAATAGAGAAGATTTCTCTACAAAAATTACGAATCACATGTGTGTGCATTGGTCGTTACTCCCGCCCGGCTTTAGTGCGCAAACTCGTTCTGAAATCCAGGTTAGACTGTAAACCTACTTAGTTGCATTTGATAGTGCAAAACTAAATACAGTCGTACCAGTGTTAAATTAATAGGTTAACTTTATGTATCAGGATTCAGGATTACGGGCTAATTTGATATTTTCATAAATTAACGAAAAAAGATTATTTAGGTAACCTGGTTTGAATAAATTAAATGAAACCATCAATGGAGCTAGTAGGATTTATTTTATTATTCATCAATAACATAATCAAATTCAGAACTTGAATATTCAACTGCAATGTCTGCTCATGAACGCTTCAAACTCTGTACTTCTTTCCCAATTCCATAAAATTTAATACTTACAAAGTGACAAAAAACTTTAAAATAGGCAGTTAAAACAAACCACAGTTAATTTTCATATTGGACTGTACTATACGATAAACATGTCAGTCAATTTGACAACCGTTGTCGGAAACATTATTCAATGAAAATATTGTCCGAACCCTTAGTATGTCTCTTCGACCAATACTTTAACACATTGTGAACCACTTTTCTTTCACGACTATAAAAAGTTTTTAGCAATTTAATTCACAAAATCAATTGCACACATTTAAGTTAAAGTTTGTTTACACTTTGACAGCAATAGACAGTTTGCAAGGTGACATGTCAATGAAGTTTTCAGTTACTGTTGCCATTAAAAGAAATTAGTACCATTAGTTTTCCGCAACATGGCGAGGGTTTTTATGTTCCTGGTCGGGCTATAAAGTATGTACAAACGTCCTTATGGATTCTAACATTCTTATCCTATAGACAGTACATCAAGCTCAAGGATACCTAGCATCTAATGTAGTTGCAGTTTCGTAATTTAAGTGCCGTTAGTGCCGTGGACCACGGCATATGCTGAGTGGAGTCCCTTTGCGATGGTCATCGCTGTTGCAACAGGGTGGCACTGCTCAGTTCACTTTTTATTTCCTTGTAATATTTATGTGCTATTTCTGCCTTTTTTCCGTATACTTTCTTTGTTCTCTAAGGCCCAGAACAGACGGTGAAACGCAACTGCAACAACAATGCAACTGCTAGTTACTTTTGAGTTGCATCTAAGTTTCTGCCATAGCGTCCGTTGAGAGACCACACATGACGCGACCAGTTTGAAACCGGTTTGAAACGTGCAGTTGCAGTTGCGTTTCACCGTCTGTTCTGGGCCTAAGTAATATTTGTTTCTTTATTTCTAACTTCATTTGTACAGGATGATGACGATGATGATGATGGTTCTCCACAGACATGAACGACATCCAATACGCGGCGCTGACGCAGATCGCTACAGCCCCGCTGACAACTGCGTACTGCCTCCAGACTTACGCCAAGCTGACCAACGCGAACGGCACTGCTAAGGTAAGCGAAGACGACAGCAGATGACCCTTAGGAAGACATACGTCCGTATTCACAAACGATGCTTGCTTTAGTGAAGCAGCAAATCGAACACACGGCGTTGAATAGAGCTCTGTTATTGGTTCATATGTCATCCTGTGCATCCACGAGCACTATGAGACCTTATAGTAATGTTTGTGAATACGGGCGGTAAGNATGTGACCACCTGTGACGGGGGGGGGGTTATCCAAACAACATGTTCCCTTGTCCAGTCCTTTCTGAGATGCCTTATTTTGTAAGAGACTGAGAGAGTCTTACGTCCAACATTAGACCGCTGTAGGCTGATGATGATGATGATAAACATACTCGGAAAGTTCTGGTCGTTATGGATATCTTTGGTGGAGGCCTTTGTCCAGCAGTGACCGTCATTTGGCTGAAGCGATGACGTCTGAACAAAACTTGGAGACTATATGACTGAATTTGACCTTCATTGGTTGGGTTTTCATGGCGGTCAAGCTGTAGATCCTGCACACAGGAGTTGCAGTGGTGGGAACGAGAGACGGGAATAGTCTCGTATATGACTGAATTTGTATCCAGAAAGCCACATGCACGGTCCACGTGGTGGGCGGCGAGCTGCAGTTCGAGGCTGATGCTCTTCACAAGTGGGAGGTGTTCTTACTGCACCAGCGGCCCGGCGCGCGGGAGCTCGGCGTGGCCATGGTGGCGCCCGAGCTGAATCCGTCCTCGCTGCCGCTGCAGCTACTCGCTAGAGTCAAGTAAGGATATGATAGTCAGTCACCAGTCTAGTGCTAGGGTCACATGAGTCAGCGTCTTCAGTCTAGTGTTAGATGGCTATAGTGAAGCCGGACCTCAAGACCTCATCATCGCTGTCGCTGCAGCTGCTCGCTAGAGTCAAGTAAGGGTACACCAGTCAGAATGTCTAAGTGCTAGATGGTCAGTTTCATGCAACCTCTAGGCTAGTTCTAGCTGGCCAGAGTCAAGCAGCCTCCAATATAGTGCTAGGTGGAGCTCAAGCCACACGAGTCAGCGTCTAGTCCAGTTCTAGATGGTCAGAGTCAAGTAGTCACCAATCTAGTGCTAGATGCGCCAGGGGCTTAGGTCCCTCATCCCTTCTGATGGCGCTGATCGCCCGAGTTAAGTGAGGCTACGCGAGTCAGTCTCCATTAAAGTATTAGTGGCCGCAATTTGAGACTTCATTGTTGCCGCTGGCGCTGCTTGCAGTAAGACTACACCTGGTGTGTGGTTGCAGTCCAGTGCATACGTCATAGGTCTCCATAGTCAATGCCTGGTGAGTTCTAGTTTGAGGCTGATGCTCTGCACAAGTGGGAGGTGTTCTTACTGCACCAGCGGCCCGGCGCGCGGGAGCTCGGCGTGGCCATGGTGGCGCCCGAGCTGAATCCATCCTCGCTGCCGCTGCAGCTGCTCGCTAGAGTCAAGTAAGGATACGCGACTCAGGCTCCAGTCCAGTGCTAGGTAGCCATAGTCAAGCAGCCTCCAATTTAGTGCTAGGTGGACCCCAAGCCCTTATCGCCGACGCTTGCACTGCTTAAGTAAGAACACGCGAGTCAGCCGCCAGTCTAATGCTAGGGTCACACGAGTCAGCGCCTTCAGTCCAGTGCTAGGTGGCATGAGTTAAACAACTTCCAGTCTAGTCGCTTCATGGCGTCGAACCTCAAGTCCTCATCAGCAGCTGCTCGTAATCTGCAGCTGCTGGCAAGAATCAAGTAAGAATTCGCGAGTCAGGATGTCCAGTGCTAGGTGGCCAGAGTCAAGCAAGCTCTAGGCTAGTCCTAGCTGGCCAGAGTCAAGCAGCCTCCAATTTACTGCTAGGTGGAGATCAAGCCCTAATCGCTGCCACTGCAGCTGCTCGCACAAGTCAAGTAAGAGAGAGAGAGAGAGTGCTACACGAACGCTTGCATGTCACAACGTGCCAGACAGTTCCAGTGCTAGGTAGCTTGGTGACGCTGGACCTCAAACCCTCACTGCAGCCGTTGGTGCTACTCACAGTAAGATCACTCGTGGTGGGTGGCTGCAGTCCAGTACATATGTCATAGGTCCTCAGTCAATGCCTGGTGAGCTCCAGTTCGAGGCTGATGCTCTCCACAAGTGGGAGGTGTTCTTACTGCACCAGCGGCCCGGCGCGCGGGAGCTCGGCGTGGCCATGGTGGCGCCCGAGCTGAATCCGTCCTCGCTGCCGCTGCAGCTGCTCGCGAGAGTCAAGTAAGGATACGCAGCTGTTTGCCAGGACCAAGTAAGATCAGGCGAGTCAGCTTTCAGACCAGTGCTTGGCTCAGTTCCTCGGTGCCGCTGCCGCTGCTCGCGAGAGTCAAGTAAGGATGCGCCAGTCAGTCTTTAGTTAAGTGCTAGATGATCAGAGTCAAGCAGCTTTTAATCCAGTGCTAGGTAGACCTCAAGTCCCTTATCGCAGCCACTGCAGCTGCTCGCATGAGTCAAGTAAGACCACGCATGGTGGGTGGCTGCAGTCTAGTACATACGTCATAGGTCCCCATAGTCAACCTATAGTCATGCCTGATGAGCTTCAGTTCAAGGCCGACGCCCTCCACAAGTGGGAGGTGTTCCAGCTAGGGCCACACGTGTCAGCGCCGTCAGTCCAATACTAGGTGGACCTAAAGCTCTGCCACGCAGACGTTGCCAGCGCGCTGCGTCGTTACAGCGTAATGTTTTCAACGCATTGTGTGCACACGAGCGCTGTGATGTCATAAAGCAACGCCCCTTAATCGCAGCGTTGATGAATAGTATAGTACACTCGTAGTAGTAGTAGTAAAGAAGTCGTCATTCGTATTAACGGTATACAATAAATGTGAAAAAATCTTAGGTATAACTTGTTGTTATTTCAGACTGTGCGAGAACTGCCGTACCAACAAGCGCAGGGTGGTGTTCAGTTTCCAGGACAAGACCACCTACCACGACTACTGGGACAGTGACCACTTCCTCACCCCTGACATTGGTACGATCATTATCTCACATAGCTTTGTCATAGGTGCTGTTGCTTACAAAGCCATTGGGCTTATATACACCTTCGTTTCCTTATTGGCAATAAGGAAACGAAGGTGTCTGTCGAAATTCAGTGATTCCAAATTCACAAGTACTTACTAAGATATTTAAGTAAGGCTCGCTTGCACTCTTGCTTGCGTAAATTTGAATAATTTTATCGATTTAATAAATAAAAGTATTTAAGTATGTTTATATCCGTTGTATTTTTCTCACAGGACACTTTGCTTAGTTTAGAACTAGATCGCGCGGTGCAATATGTCCAAGATTATTTATCTATGTATTTATATTTATTTTGTAGTTTGCGCATTCAACCCCAGCATCAAAAGGTCGTCGATGTACAACGGCAAAGACCCGTGGCCTAAAACAATCAACTGCATCCTCAAAATGAAGACACCGTTTTTGGTCACGGCATATACTCTGACGGAACTCCAAAGGGACTTAGCCAAGATCAAGGAATGTGCTGAAACGGACCTCAAGGTCCTCATCGAACCCAAATTCAACAGCTTCGCCAGCGTCAGACCAGACAGGAACTTTATATCTGACGATGAGATGCCGCTGCTCTTCAAAAACTACTGTTACATGCTCGTTTGTGGAGCTTGATTTTGTTTTTTGTGTTGTTACTTTATTATATTTATTGAAATATCCCCAGTCTATTATTTGGGAGTGACGACATTCAGTGTTCAAAACAAAAGAAACGGATACATCATTAAAATATTTATTAACTAACAATTAAACTTCATTTAATCTAAACTAAAATATATCACAGATAAAACGTTAGTTACGAATAATAGAGAACACAGAGATACAGATTTTTTCAAATCACCAAATAATTTTCATGTTATTAAACATAGAATAGACAGAAATAAGTGTGTAAATATAGTAGCTTTGGACGACGGTGCCGTAGGATGTGCCTGCCACCTACACAAAGAAGTTATACATATAAGACGTATATTTACAGACAAAGGTACAACAAAGAGCGTCTTTAAGAAAGACTATCAATTCCTTGAGCTTTGGAAAAATACATGCATAAGTTTCAACTCATGCATAAGTTGCACTCACATATCAAATGTTTTCATCTGATTATTATAAGACAAAATCTATAAAAAAATTAAGAAGTGCATGGAAAAAATTACATTGAATTTGTGAACCAAACTCTTGAATAAAGTAATGCAATTGATAGAGAAATTACAAATTCTAAAGATATTAAATTGCCACACATTCACTTCCGGAGAAAAAATAGTGCTCAAGAAATTGACATTACGAAAGTTCACACAACAATTAAATAAGTGCACTATAAAGAGTGAGAAATACTAAGACTTACAAGAATTTGAGACAGACATTAGTAATGGTGAAGAAAAGTAATAGTGATGAGGCACAGCAGTGATGGTCCTTCCAGCATTTGTGATTATTTATCAATTTTAAGTTCCAAAGCTCTCGATTCGGAAACAATTTTATTACCAAATGCGACACATAAATTGAAAAATATCTTTATGTAACATGTTCCAAGTTTACTTAGGATAGGTTTGCTCGGAAATAATTACAGATATTTACTCGGTCTAATAGTTATGTCCTTCACATAAAGTCTGACAACTTCAGGTGGAAGGATTGATATACGATGCTGAAAGAATAACATCTTCGGCCCAACAAAATACAGCATGTAAATAATGTCAACAAACTGGTTATGATAACATGTTAATGATAATTACATGAATACAACGATAGCAAACAAGAACAACGAGGACGTTTAGCACTAATTAAGGAACATGGTAATGATGATGAAGAAGACACTGGTACTCGTAAGCATTCGAATGGCATTTTGATTCGCATAAATTTTAATGGAATTAGACAAAATTTATTCCACTGTTAAATGTAATTGTGGCATTGTTTAAAATTTTAGTTAAAGGGTACCTACCTATATTCTCAAATTACCTACAATACAAACATCAACCTAAGCATAGGTACAATATAACGAATGAATTGTTAAACACTGCTCTAAAAACGTGCAAACAAAATTGTTTTTTCGACAAAAACTATGTCGGAGAATCGACTTAAAATGTGATCCTTCTATTATTTTTCAGAATTAATTATACACGTCGAGATAATCTGCATTCATAGCCAGTGGAATTGGAGTTTTACTAGAAAATGAAAACTACATTATTGTCATCGAAATGAAAATTTTTGTAAAGTGTACGAAGATGACGCATTAAGGTAAACTAACATTATTATCCTTCTTTACTTGAAATTGGGGGTATACGTACTACTATTTACTACAATTTTGTACAGTTTTGGAGGTATCTCAGTTATAATCTAATCAACTACTTATCTATTCATTTATTTAACTAAAAATATTTTTGTTGTTTATTTATAAAAAACAATGTGATGTATCAGAAAAGTTTGGTTGCTTAAAATAAATGTACAAATTATGCGAATCAAAGCCCAATACGAAATTGAAAACGATAGAGAAACGGAAAGACACGGAACATGCTTCAAGCACACACAGCATTCCAAAGTCACACAAAGACAGCCACCTCGAGTCCCTCAGTCGTCGTCTCCCAACTTTCTGTCGTGTCATCTCTTATTACATAATATCCCTCATTTTCTAATTCAGGTACATCACTAGCAGTCAATTCCTTATATTCTGTTGTACTTTTACTTAATTCTTCAACACTAGTACTTATTGTAGACTCAGTATTTGTACTTTTGTCTTCTCTACCTAAAACAAAACCCTTCTTTCTGTCTTTTAAATTATTTGTATTAGAAAAAATAATATTATCTATGGCATTTATTCCTAATGAAACATATTCATCAGTCTCTTTTGTATCAGTACTTAATCTTTCATTTTCGTCATAAATAATATCTCTATAATCTTCAGTAAAAGATTCAGTATCTTTTATTATTTCGTATTTTTCAGTAGTAGATTCTAAATCTGTCGCACTATTAGTGCTTGGTTCTGAAGTAGATTTAATGTTAATTGTATTTATTCCAACATAGCTCTTTTTATGATTTTTAGATGTCATTTTTACTTGTGATTTTTCTACTAAATGTAGTTCAATGTGTGATGTTTCTGTTGACGAAACTTCTTTATAGTTTGTCGTTGAGTAATCTGAATTTTCCTCTGTCCAAATCTCTGTATTGTTAACTGAAGTATTTGTTTCTTCATCGAATATCACATCTGTATCATCTTGACTAGTATTTGTGACTTCATAATTATTTATATTGGAATAAATTTCTGTGATGTTATCTACGGTATTGCCAAATGTAGACAATTTGGTAACTTCTGTAGAAAAATCTATATTTCCAGTGGACGCGTTTTCTGTACTTTGTGTAAAGTTGTACAAACTTTCGCTATTCTCGGTAACTAAGTTTGGTTCAGTTGTAACTGTTACATTGTCTTGCACGTCTGAATATGCAATAAATGATGCATTACTTTCTAGTTGTACAATATCGTATAATATGTCGTCATTACTTTCGGTAACATTATTTGGTTCAGTAGTAGTTGTCATGTTTTCAGAACTTTCGTTTTTATTTGTAAAAGAGACATAACTCTTTGTCGTGTACAAAGGTGTTGTAGTTACTTTACTATTGACACTATTCGGTTTATTATGAAGATTTTTTTCAATATATTTTTTCTCTGGTGTTCCTTTCTTTTCATCTTTCAGTAATGATAACAACGGATTATGAGTTATTATATTAGGTGGAATTGTTGTGATTTTTGAATTATATTCAGTGTTTACTTTACTTGTAAATGCAATGGTATTTCTATCTCCATTTTGATTGTCCTCGTCGCGTATATTGACTGCATTCTCTTTCACGTCTGTGTCCTCTTTATCGAGCTTAAAAATATTCATTATTATATCTAGTAATAAGTTCTTCTTAGGATAAATGTGTACTGTGTCATTCGTGGTTTTTGTTGAGTTATAACCTGGTTTCTTTTTTAGTTCTTGATCGACGTAGCGTACTATATCTTGAGTGTAGTTTTCAGGTGGCTCCCATTCATATTCGGGGTCGGGCGTGGGTTTAGTTGTGGTTGTGTTATTGAGATGATCTCTTAGTATAGGTCTCCAGGTGGTTAGTCCAGAGTTACTAACCGGATTACTGGTGGTATCCGTGCTGTTTTTGAAGTGGGGTTTAGTGTACTTGGCTATGGCCGGTCCCATAACTTCTTCTGTGTACTGCAGGAGGTTCTGGCACTTCTCGATGGTGTTGACGTCATTGGAGCTGCCCCAGATGATGAAGCCGGATGCGTTCGCTTTATAAAGCGTCTCGAGGACCGTATCAAGATCATTCTGGAAGGAAACGCAAATTGAGGTGATGATTACATTGCATTTTTGTTTTAAGTCATTGGGTGAAGTGGGTATTTCCTGTGCGAATTTCTTAATGCACAAGTTAAATTGGAGGATAATGTGGGACTGGACATTAATATTGCTTCCATTTATTTGAATTGCTAAATTGCACGACTTCAATTTATATTTTTACCAATGAAACTGTGCGTCGGAAAGCTTAATAAAAATGAATTACAGTTAATAGGCTGAATGAGACATTGTATTTTAGAAATATTATTTAGGTAAGTAAGCATTACTTGCAATGTCTTTACAGCTCATTGAAAAAAGTAGTCATCTGGCATAATGGCATAGTACTTACAGGTTTCTGTTAAATTTTTTTTTGAAGCAGTAGGAAGTCCATATCGCGGGACTCTGGGCATATGCCTGTGAGTGCTTAGTGGGAACGAGGGTAACAATTGCGGAACTATAAGTACTATAACTGTAATGTTTGTAACTTTGTCTAGGTTCTTTTTTTTATCCACAAAGAGGAAGCTCTTGGCCTGTATCTCACCTGATGGTAAGTGACGATCAGGCCGAAGGTGGAAGCGAGCTTCACCCGGAATCCTCAACCACGGGGGAACTGGCTATCTTACCTCTAACTGCCGGAACACAACAATGCTGTTAACATTGTTAAAACTGGTCTGTTAAAACAGAAAATCACAGAAGATCCTTACCTGACTGAGGAACCCGCCCTCCCGGTATCTAAACCAGAAGTATGGCAACACCGGCGTTCCAGCGCGTGCTTCCCGCCTCGCTTCTCGCACGCGTTCTCGCACCAACGCTGCCAGCGCGCGCCCGGTTATTTGTCGCGAGCTGTATACTGACGGGTAGAGAGCTGTCGATTCTGACCACAGCCAGTATGTCCTGGAAAGAAATGAGCATAATAAATAAATATTCTTCGATACTGTTAATACTGTGCCATTTATTCCGAATTGATGGCGGTTGGGGCAGTTCTCAACCGACCACGGACGGGAAAACGTAATGATTGTATGCAGGCTTCCTAATCGGTGGATCGAAGACCTAGTAGAGATTGCGGGAATATGCAGTTAAACTTAAGCTTACAGCTTGGCCAACGTGAATTTTCGGCCTGAGACAGAAAGAAGAATTTATTGTGGCTTTCCAAAATCCACCATTTAAAAATCGCTTCAGTAGTTTAAGGGTAACGTAACAGACAAACAGACGGAATTGTATTAATTTTCGACGCTCATCATAATCATTTTACTCGATTATGGCAATCCGCTACTGGATGTAAGCCACTGCCAAATAATGCCACAATGCACCATCTTCCCGTGATCTTTTGTATCCAGCCACTGCCAACTATCTTCTTTAGGCCCTTGGTTCATCGTTCAGGGAGGGATCTTTATCTAGCGGTTTCCTGTAAGGGCATCTGTCCACCTTGTGAATAGCATCCCCCTGCTCTGTTCTCACCGTTACCTATAGCCTATCTTTTCGACTTACTTATCGTTCTCCTGCTTGACTTTATCAGGACAGTGCTCCTCCATAGTGCCGGCGGCCATGTTGAAGCAGTACGAGAAGCCGTAGTAGCCCTACAGCGCGCGCGGCCGCATCTGCTTGGCCACCGAGAGAGTGGTCTGCATGAACGCGCGCTTCTTTGAAGCAAAAGTTCTCGACCAATCATGGACCAAACGTATTGTAGGCTCTCAACCCAGTAGACCATCGATACATCATCATTTCCAGCACATAGCACGGGACTATTCCCACCTCTCGTTCCCACCGCTGCAACTCCTGTGTAGCCAGGATCTACAGCTTGACCGCCAATAAAAACCCAACCAGCGAAGGTCACTTTTGTACCTCAATTGATCGTTGATACATCATCATTACCAGCATATAGCAGTCTACTGACAGAAATCAGGGAATCAGAAATCAGTCTCAAGGAAAGCCATAATGCACCGTCTCCCGCTTTTGCATCTAGCCGCTGCCAGTTATTTTTAGGACGTCAATCCATCGGATAGCAGCCTTCATCCAGCGGTTTCTTGCAACCTTTACCAAGGCATCTGTCCACCTTGTGAATAGCGTCCCTCTCTGCGCTTGCCGTTACCTATAGCCTCCATTCCAGAACCTTTCATTTCGACTTACTTATCGTTCTCCTGCTTGACTTTATCAGGACAGTGTTCCTCCATAGTGCCGGCGGCCATGTTGAAGCAGTACGGGAAGCCGTAGTACCCCCACAGCGCGCGCGGCCGCATCTGCTTGGCCACCGAGAGAGTGGTCTGCATGAACGCGCGACCGGCCTCTTCGAAGCGCTGGCGGGCCTAGAATTGAGGGTTTTGGTGTTAGTTACTTTACATTATCATCATCATCATTAGTATCCACTGCAAGAGGACGACGATTATGGTGCTTTTCGACCTTTAAACGGATTGTATAGAAAGTTGTTTTTTTTTTTGGGATCAGGCAGG